AACAAATTCAGTTGAATACAAATCTCACCTAGGAAATTAATTATCCTGTAGAAAACTGTATTAGAAAATGTATGACACACAATCACATGTCAAAGTTAAAGACTCCAATGAAGCGTGTGAACATGTGGGTGATATACCCTCCGATCAGCTAGAATGAACAATTTTAATACCAGACTTACTTTTACTGAATGCAAACATACATGTTTTTAACAGTTCTGCAAAACAACAAAATAAGAAATTAAGTGGCACAAGCACAAATGAAGTTTAAAATAGGTTATTCAAATTTTGAGGCTTCAGTTGGTCAGGTTAAAAATCATGATTAAAACCAAGCAGGTAATTTCCAAAACAGCCAAGTAAAAGGTTGTGTTTTCTGTTTATTATCTCTGTGTGATATCACCATCTCCCTTTCAGGACACAACCATAACCTCCAACCAACCACTTCCAGTATTACAAACCCAAGACAAAGATTTCACATGGGGAGGACACAAAACAGTATACTTCCAAACAATACTGACCTCATTATCATAAAGGTTGTAAAAGATACAACCCTAAGAGAAACAGGAAAACATGTAAGCTCAGCAATTTGTCCCAAAAATTAACAGAAAACCCCTGAAAACACACAAGGAGCTGGACTGAACCCAGAACCCCAGATGCACATTCCAGGCTGTTTATTATTATCAAGCTCAGAAAAAACCCTCACATGGTGGATTCAAGGTTTTGCTTTCAGCAATAGCATTCACAGCTCTCAGGAGGGCTCTAAAGACCAGTGGCTCAATCCAGAGTTTGTCTCACAATTTTACAGTTTTTCAGAAGTGCCACACTACAGACCTTACACATTTTTAAATTACTTAAGTGGGTTCAGGAAGAAAATAAAAACTGGTCTGAGGCACGAACTGACAAAGTCTGATTTCCTTGTACGTGTGACTTGTTACAACAAAACGCAGACTGTGATCAAGGCTTCTTACAGACACACTCTCACCTTGCTTGTTCTCTTCCACATGGATTTTTCTAAGATCTAAAAAGGCCAAGCTCACACTGCAGCCTTTTGAAACAATTGAACCCTTTTCTAAAGTTTTTTTTTTTTAAAAAAAAAAACAAACAAACAAACTTTTATAAACAAACTGACACAGGATTCATTTCATCCGTCTTTAGACACTCACAAACAAGTTAGTCCACGGCCTCCTCTCACAGTTGCCAATGAGGCTGTATTGTACAATACCATGAACTTCATCCATGTCAGATGCCACTTGAAGAGGTGATGAATCACCCCAGAACTGCTAACTTTTGACTGTACAGAGAGTTCAGACAGCAGTTGCACAAATTAAACCCACCCCGAGCTGAAAATGGCCAACAATAACACAAAAATTACTGCAGGCTGGACTGGGAGAAAAGGAGAAAGAGGCAGTGGGACTATTAAAGCTTTAACGTGTGAGAAAAGCAGCTAGATACCATTGGCAATCCTGTCATTGCTGCACAGGTTTAGAAAGCTGCCTATTTCCAGGTTACCCCACCCCGGGGTGGGAGAAGTCCAGTGCCTGGCCTGACAGCTGATCTGGTGGACACAGGGAGCTCCTCAGCACAGGGCTGACTCACCTTGCAGCGGCTCTGATGCCACACATCCTGACTGCCAGCCAACGACCCTCTCAGTTACTACAAAGACAGGACCCACACGCCGTATCAGTCCTGCCTGAGCCTTCATCACTCAGCCTGGCAACAGCCTCTTTAAATTAATACAGCTCTCAGCATGCTTTCACACAGCACAGCCAGAAATGGCTGTGCAACAAACTTTGCAACAACATGGGAGCCTTTCTACAAGCTTGGAATTTAGGTATGCTAGAGCTATACTGTGTTTTGTAAGGGTGAGGTTGTGACCTACCCTACTAGCAGGAAGTTTTATCTGCTGGGAGCAGACAGAGATCTCTGCAGGGTTTCTGCAGCAAGAATAGCCGGAGGGAAGCCAATGAGCTCTGGCAGTTACACATGTTCTGAAGTCCTTTTTGCTTGCTTGTTTTAAACAGACAACAACAGTTAACAAAGCCAGAACATGTCCCAAGTGAATCAGAAGCAAAATGAGAGCAAGTTTGCTTACTCAATACTGTTTTATGTAACAGACAGAACTGCTTGCATCACAGATTACCTGCAGTACTGTGAACTGAACAGAGGTTAAGGAGGAATTAACTTCATGGAGGATGGGGAGGAAGGAGACAAGTACAGACCAACCACCTATTAACTAACGAGAGAGGTTAAAATTAGTCATGGTAAAACATCAAACTGTTGTCAGAGCTCCACTCACAATGCCCACAGAACTTCTCTCCTCACAATGTAGGGATTTAGAAAGAAGATGAGCAGAAGCAACCAGCTGAGAAACTGGAAGAGTCTTGCCCTTTCTGCCATTTCTCCTGTGACATGTCAACTGCTCAAGATCCCCCACTTATAAAGAACTTCAATGCTTACTGCTTGATACTCACCTTGGGTGGAAGTCTACTAAGGCAACCATTTTTTTCCCTGTTCAATTTCTGCAGTCCAATCACAAGGGTGCAAATCCATATTGCTTCTCACCAGAATATGAACCTACTACAGACCTTCAGAGGAAGACCCCAGAGATTTAGCTCAATGTCCAGTCTCCAGTGCTGTGGAGCTCAAAAGCTGATCGAAAATAAGCAGATTCACTTTTGCTGGTTCACATTTCATTTCTACCACTGACTTCATCTATGCAGCTCCTCTCTGCACATCCCATATCTTTCTCATCCTTTTAATGTTGGAAACAAAAATGTAGTAAGTGTGAGTGCCTTTGATATGACCTTTCTTCCATGACCTTTCCAGCATAAACCTGAGTGTTTCAGAACCTACAATGCCATTCTGCATATAGGCACAACCCAGCAGTACTAGCTACACAAAACCAAGGTGGTTTCAAGTTCATACTAAGAAATGATACAAAGTTCTGATGCTTAACCAATGCTAGATGAAGAGGTATATCCTATCAAACCTTCTCCCATTACTGAAAATCTGAATAAGCAATTAAGCGGGGAACCTGACTTCTGTCCTGAAATAAAGACAGGAGTGTGGCTTTTCTGGATTGTTGCCTAAATTGACATTTGCAAAAATTTTACTACCAGTGATGTTCAAGTGTCTTTAAAGAAGGTTTCAGCTTGCATCAGCAACCACTAGTTCAACCACAGGCAATAACAGAGTATGGATGAACAAAATTTGTGCAGAGATACCAAATGGAAAAGGGGAATAAGAAAGATCTTTAGCATAAAGTATAAATGAATTTTAAATAATACAACTCTGTGCTGTTACTTGCCCTGCAGAGGGAGCCTGAACAGACACGTTTTGAAATGAAAATTTAAATCCACACTGTTATTGCCATAGTTACCTGTACAACTTTCTAACATTTAAGGACTTATTTCTCTAAGACTGGGAGGTTGAGCCCATGATATTGGGGAACTGTGACTCGAGCAGGGAGCATCCCCTCTAAACTCAACTGGACAAGCTCCACTCTCTTGGACTTTTCTCTGTCAGAAGCTTTGGTAGAATACTAAGTCACTATACCCTTGATACCTTGGCTAATCTGAAAATAATCATTATGGAGGATAAAAGCTGTGGAACAATAATAGCACAGAGGTTTCTCTGCAATGGCAGGGGCTCCTTACAGTTTACACACAAACACAAGAGCAACCTAATATTTACATTCCATGCTAAACCACATGGGGAAAAAAAAAATACAGCCTGATTCTCTGAAACAAACACCTCCACCCCCATATCTTCATACACGTGAGGTAGTCAATACCATAGAAGAGGCCTTATAGGAACAGTGTTATTTCATCAGTGTTCATGCATGCCTTATCATTACACTCACACCCCATCAAGGGCCTTACCCAATTCCCAGTGAGGACAGTGCATCTCCTTCAGATGCTGGAATGCACCAATAGTTACTCTCAAATACACTGCTATGAATGCACTGGCAGTTACTCGCTCCTCTGTGCCATGCAAATGTTAGTACAAGTTAAAAGTAAATTAGTCCTGCTCCACAAAAGCTCATTAATGAAGCAGATTCAACCAGTGCAACTGAAAACAAGCAAGGCAGCACAAACAGGTTTTCAAAAAAGCTGAATGACTGTGTGAGATCATGAAACACCCGGATTATTATCAGTAATACTAGCCGCCCAGTCAAACAGTATTTTGGGTTGATTTAGTTTCACTCTTTTACATACCAGTTGAAGGTATCTGATCATCAGAGTTCTCATTCACCTAATTAGCTGGTGGACATGCTGAAAAGAGTAGAAAGCAGCAGATAGGTAGCAGTACTTGAGAAACATTTATAAAGGAACTGAAAGCAAATGAAGAAGAAGATTATTGATCTTTTTACCCCCCAAGTCAAAAACTGACTAGGGTCTTCCTTTCCCCCACTCAAAAAGGAAATGCAATTTCACTACCCGTAGAGGCAGTTTTTATTAGGATCTCTCAAACAGTACAATGTCTGTAGAATTACAAGGGGGAGGAGAGATTCCTGTTTGTACATAAGGTCTGATACTGTGATGTGCAATGCAAAAATATACTACCTGCTTTGAAAGCACATATTCCGTTAGTCCAAAGTTTAAAGCTTGGAAACATCATCCTTGCTTAGTTCACAAAAATCATTAACATTTACAAGTAGATACACTCTTTCTAAGAGAAAGCATAGGCCCCAAATCAGCCGAGTGCTTGATTTAATTTTCCCAAAATGGATACACAAGCTCAAAGCATATTGCTGACTTACAGCCAACAGTTACCACAAAATTTCCAATTTCAATCTTTTCTTTACAAGTCAGCCAAGTTTAAAAACTGTGGACTAAGACTCCATAATGCCTTTAAGTTTAAGCTACACAGACCATACCCAGTAGGATTTTCTAAAGCATGCAATATTGCCCTAACTCTGCTCCAATTAAATCTCTTGGAAAAATACCATCAACTTCAACGTAAACACAGCATACTTCTAATATGCATACATGGTCCTTTACCTTTAATAACGAAGGCTTCAGTTACCAAACGCAGCATATAGAGAGGTTCATCTTTTGTTGAGAGGTCATCGATTCCTGCTTTTGCATACATGCTGATGGCATCTCTGTAGGATCCCTCCACATAATGAAGCTTTCCTAGGATCAGCATAGCTTCTGTCATATACTTAGGCTGAAACAAAGCAGTGAACAGAAAAGAGTGTTTACATGGTAAAATACCAGACAGCGGGAATGAGGTACTTCAGGACAAATTAAGCAGATTCATAATGCTTTCCTCTCAACTTTCCTACTCTGGCCTGAGGAGCTAGCAAAGATTTAAGTGTCTAGAGATCTTAGAGCTATGCTTATGAGAGGAGCGGGCAACTACTTTGGAAACACACAACCTGGCAAGCCACCTCTTTGGTTTCAGCTGACCTATTCTATTGATTCACCAGCCACAGACAGAACATAAAAAATGTGGCATTTTCAGAAGTACCTACACACACACACACACCAAGAAAATCCCCTGCTTTTAAACCAGGCAGAAAACATCACTTTTTAGTCAAGTGCTTCTCTCTCCTCTGTACATTTAATTAAAGAGCAAGAAAGCTCCCAAATTTCCTTAAGTTATTAAAGTATTTTCAGGTAACAGTAGAAAGACAGAAGGCATGCCTACTATTTCTAAGATTTGTTTGGTTTCTTAAGGATTGAAAATGTGCATAAAAATCCGTGTAACAAAAAAAACCCTCAATAAAATACATCTGCTCAGACCCTTTTTACGCTTTCAAAAGCATGAAAAGGCTCCTAAGCCTTCATACTCATTTTTTTTAATACGTGCAGTCAACACAGGGTCAATGCTGCATAAGTAGCCAAGTCACCACTAACAAACACTAATGGCTGCTACCAACCATGCATCCAGACCACAAAATAAAATAAAAGCATAACTTCGCATAACTTCTCTTGCAGAGACTGAAAGCAATGCAAGGCTGTAACCCTGGGCTCACACCAGAACTGCCTGATGGCAGCTTGCAGCGCATTCTACCTCTGACATGGACCTGACCAGGTGTACACAATTCTCTCAGACCAGGAGCAGCAGTAGGTCATGCAGCTGTGCTAGACTGACAGCACCTTTATGTGGCAATGCCCCACCACCCCAAAGAAGTCCTAAATATGTACCCTGCTTCTTTCTAATAAAAAAAAAAAAAAACAGGATAGATACTTGTAGCATATAATTCGTTTGCATATGAAAAAGCAAGTCTCCCAACAGAAGATACTGCAAAAGTGTATTGGATTACCAGTCCATTGGTAATACCTGCAACACAGCACTGTATATACAGGCACACGAACAGGCACCACCATCACCTTGTATCAGACTAATAATCATATGAAAGCATATGTTAGTTGGCAGCAATTACAATGACAGAGCCCACTTACTCGTAGTTTTCCTCTGCTTAAGATATTGGTCAAATAACGTTTAGCTTCACCCAGTTTTGGCTCATTCTTTTCTGTCAGTGGAACAGAGTCCTTCAGTTTGGCGAAGTTTTCCTTCAAGCATTCTTCCAGCAGAGCCTCTGCAAGCAGCATACTCCCATAGTCCTCTGAAAGCATATACCAACCAACAAGAAACATCTCTTAGTGGCATAATGCTGATAAATAGCATCACAAAAACAAAACAACACACCCTTGAGGCACACAAGCAGTAACTCAAAGGAGAGAATAAGGAAGGACTAGCAGATAGAAAAGTTCCATTAACTTCTAGCTATTGGAAACAGTGTATTTCCTAAAAATGAAACAACATTTCCTTTTAACTTGAACGTTTTCCCCAATGAATCCTCTGATTTTGACAGCACAGTTCATTCTTGTGTTGTCACTAATATAACAGTTAAGACTTTTCATCACAAAACTCACTTTCAAATGTACAAGGCCAGTCTTTATAAACATTTAAGTGCATGCTTTGGATTTACAAATGTACAAGCACGAAATGCATGCTTCAGACTACAGATAAGCTATGAATTTTACTACAGAACTGTAATCACATCAGAAACTTTTAAGACTTTCCTGAAAGTTCACAGAAGAAAATAGAAATAGAGAATTTAGACACAGTCTACACATCCGTTACTAAAGACGCACAAGGCTTGATCCAGTGAGTTAACTAACATGCCACATAAAATTCTTTCTACATTAAAATCCATTCCTGTGGAACTGTTCACAGTTCCACAGAAGAGAAACTCAATCATAGGTAGTAGCACTGGATATGGCATGAAGCATCATGTGATGTTGCAATCGTGCTGAAAAAAAAAAGTTTCATCTGCCTGTGTATTTGGAGTTCTTGCACAATGGGTCAAGTTCTGCAGTTCATTTATTCATAAAAGTAGTACCTCAGCCAGCTGACTAGTGGGTCAAACAGGGTAAGAAAGTATCTGTAAATCAAAAAAGTCAAGCCCTACATTTCACATATACTTCACATTTCAAAGTCTGAAATTCTAGAATGCAGGAAACACAACAGTGTATCTATTTCTATATTTGCAGTCCATGGCACAACTTATCGCCACTCACTACCTATACATTACATACAGCATTAATAATCAACTTATGGTTGTTTTTTTTTGTTGTTGTGGCTTAAGTGTTCACCTGCATATCGAATTATAACCATAGCTCTTCCTGCTCAATTGCAGGTCTGCAACTAACTTGCATAAATGAAGTATTAGGTACATAACATGGGAAATGTAAATGTTTATTTCCCCCCCAATCTCTCACACAATCATTTCTACACAACAGAGCTTTCAGGTAGTCACTAATCTCTTAACCAAATTTAAGGAATTACGTAAGATCATATACAATTAAGAAATAAATATACACAATCCCTCAGAGAAAATACTACTATTTAAAAATCTAATCCAGCCACACTATTGTTTCTAGAGACACAAAACTATAGCTAGTCCCTTGCTGGAAAAGTTCTGTAGCAATAACAAAGCATTACTTTTTCGTAACTAGCAAGTTATGATGACAGAGAAGTAAATTAACTAATAATGTTTTTGCAGCAATCATACTGTTGTTATGCCTTTTAATTACAATGGAACAAACTAATACGAACTCTTCAACTACTACTAATGCCCCCAAACTGCATGATGATCTCTGCACCTGGGAAGCACTGCTGAAACCTGACTAAAGGTCAAGAGTTGGCTGTGTGGTTCTTGACACAGGGTTCATTCTGCCTCATGTACAAAGCCTTGTAAATAAACATGTATTAAGCTACCAACATCTCCCCCCACTATGAAGTTTACTGCACCCCAGCAATCTTCAATTAACTCCAGGGCCACATCCTCAAAACACTCCTCTAACGCAGTGGGTTTATTCCTAGAAATAGCTCCTCTGACTTCAACAGCAGAACCTCCTGTACCAGTGTGGTGGCTAGGATCAGGTGCTCTTCGCAACTTACCGCTGCTGACTACAGACATGTAATTTTGTATTGCTATGTTAGGCTGCCTCACTTCTTACACGTTATTTCACTTAAAAAGAGTGTAACAAGTAAAAAAAAAAAAAAAAAAAAAGAATACATTTTCTATTTATGAAACCAGTCTTACAGGGGAAAGGATATTTGGATGATCCCAAGCCTTTAAATAAAGCAGCCCCCGCCAGGAATGAGGAGAGATAATGTAAAGGCATCCGGAACAGGGTGGAGAGGGGGCAAGAGGGAATCAGCATCACACGTATCGGTAAGCTGAAGAGAGGCGTTTCCAAACACGGAAGGTTTTGGTCGGTAGCCTGGCCGCAGCTCAGCCGAGCTGGTTAAATTAAGCGGCCGCAGCCGCCCGCCGCGTCCAGGTGCTTCCCGAGGCGGGGGCAACACCCCACAGGCACGGAAGCGCCGGGCGAGCGCTGCGGGCCCCTCGCTCCCCCCGGCAGCCCCGAGCAGCGGGGCTCCCCTCGCAGCCCGAGGGGCTCGCAAGCGCTGACGCGAAGAGGAAGGGCAGAGTTATCTCCCTGAACGCCGTTCCCCGGGCTCCCGCCGCTTCCCCCACGCGTCCCTTCCCTCCCGCCACCGGGGGACAGCGGGCGATACACCTCCCCGGCAGTACCGCCCCACTCCTCTCCCGCAACCCCGGGAGACGGGGCACCCACAGCCCCACGACAAGCCGGCCCCGCCGCCGCCGCCCCACGCGCGGGACGGTCCGGTAACGGCGCTTACCCGCGTCCTGCGCGCCCCCCGCCGCCGCCGCTTTGCGCGGGGGCCGCGCCGGCGGCAGCAGCTGCTGGGCCAGGTGCCGGAGCGGCGCCCACTGCCCCTCCGCCCGGCACCGCTCGATCTCCCCTTCCAGCTTCACGTGTGAGTGCGAGCCCTTAGCCGCCATCTTAGCGCCGGGCCCGCCCCGCCCCGCCCCGCCCGCGGGGAGTCCCCAGTGGCGGCGCCCGGACCGTGTGCGGGACCGCGGCTGCGGGCGCCCCGCGGGACGGGGCGGGGCGGGACGGCAGCGCCGCCTCGGCCGCCCCCACCTCGACGCCCGAGGCAGGGAGCCGCGTCCCCCTGCGCGGGCGGCCGCTCTCCTCGCCGAGGCCCCTCCAGAGTCACCCAAAACCCCGGGGCCTCTTCCTCCGGCCGCCCCCCCGCAGCCACCGCCCCCCTCCCGTCGCGACTTCAGCACAGGGGCAACCGGGGGCCCGGAGCTTGCTCCCAGGGCTGTCGCCTCGGGAGGCGAAGGCGGCCGCTCTTGAGGGGCGGCAGGTGTCAAAACAACGAGACCTTCGGCGCTTGGTGGGGAGGGAAGCAAAGAGAACAAACGGTTTATAAAGCACTGAGGGTGCCGGCGACCGGGCGCCGCGGCTCCCGGCAGAGCAGCGGGGCGGGGAAAGGGCGGAGGCGGCGGCGGATGAGGAAGAGGAGGAGGAGGAGGAGGAAGGCGGCCGCTCCCCCTCCGCTCTGGCCCCGCCCCCGAGGCGGGGCGGGGCGCTCCACCTGTCCGTCCGCGAGGGCCTCCACGTGGAATTCCAGGAGCGGTGACGTCGCCCCCACTCGGCCGGGAGGCGCCGCCAATGAGCGGGAAGAAGGGGCGGGGCGAAGGGCGGGGGCGCGTGCGTCGGGTCAGAGGTGACGGCGGGGGCTGGTGGTGGCCGCCCCGCCCCGGGCCCGGCTCCACCTGCCCGTCACCGGGACCGGGACCCCGCGGCGGCGGCGGCGGCGGCAGCCACAGCCACAGCCACCCGCCATCGCCATCCGGAGGGTGCGTAGCCCCAGCAGCCGAGGGTGGAGCGGGGGGGGGGGGTGGGGCGGGCGCAGTGCCCGCTGTCAGGGCTCCCCGGCACCGCTCCGCGCCGAACCGGCCGCAGGTGGGAGAGCAACGGGAGAAGGCCGGCCCCGACACTCGGAACTCCCCCCGCTCGCCCCGCTTTAGCGCTTCGCTTGCCGGCGAAGCGAGGGCTGCCACGGCCGCCGCGTTTTTAAAAGTTCCACGCCGCGCGGGCTTCGTAGAGCTGCTAATTGCGTGCGGCCCCTTCGGCCCTGTAAGCGGCCTTTGCTCCCGTGGCCGTGGGGCGGGGCTGCGCGGGGCTGCGCGGTTGGTGTCTGGAAGCTGCATGAAGCCCTCAGCAGGGCTAAAGGGCGCGCGTTCGCTGCATGAAAAAAACGTCATTCTCTGAAAACTGCCGCCTATTTCCTTGAATTAAAGACCTTCGTAGAAATTCGTTAGTTGAGCTCTCTGGTTTTCTGCTTGCTGAGTGCTTGAAATAAAGCAACATCATCTCTTCTGTCTGTGACGTAGTGGGATTATTTCTAAGCACTCTGTAAATTTGCTGAAAATAGATTGAATTTTTCATCTGTGGTTTTTTTTTGGGGGGGGTGGGGGGGAAATGTTTTCATTTTTGTAGGAGATCATGACCACCCAGAGGATTTTTAGAATATGTTTGCTGTTCTGCTTTCTGGCCACATTCCTCATCTCTGCCCTAGCTGAGGAACACGTAGGAGAGAGTCAACATGCAAATATTCGCCTTGATAAGAACTTGGTACAAGATAAAGAGTATGTATTCCATGTTCTAAAAACTTAAACTTTACTTCTTAATTATTTGCTTATCTCTTAAGTCTTGTTACATGAGTTGGACTTAAGCCTAGGACACCCTGTTTTCTCAAGGTGTTGTATGACTAGCTAGAGTCAGATATGAGACATGCTTGCTCGATAAAGCTGTAGAGATACTAGACCTCAAAAGGTCTCCCTGGAGCCTTTAGCCCTACTCATACTATAAAAAACTTCTTACAGGAATTCTGCTTACCTAGATCAGCATACTTTAGGTAAATCGTATTCTGAACAGGTAGAGTAAGAGTTTTCTTCTCATTTGCTGCCTCATACAGACAAAACAGTGGTAGCAGCAAATAAAATACACTAGAATACTTCATGTTTGACTGGGAAAGATCTTCCCATTCTTGTGCTTTGGAAGACAGCCAAAAGGAGATTTTGAGCAATCCTTCAGTTGTTTTGATAACCTGCTAAGCAGGCCAGAAAAAATAGAAGTATCTATCTAGGGTATTAGAGGCCACTGCAGCACCTGTAACAAACAACCTCTGTGTTCCCTTCATCACAGTATAAAACTGTAGCTTTCTGTTGCCCTAGTTGTCCAGGGTGCTTTTAGAGATACAGTATTTTCTGTGTACTTGACTGTCTCATCAGAGACTAAATTTGATGTAAACAGAGCATTAAATATTAACTGATGGATATATTGTGGGGTTTCTTTTTTTTTTTTTTCTTAGCCACATCATGGAACATTTGGAAGGGGTTATTGAGAAACCAGAATCTGAGATGTCTCCACAAGAGTTACAGCTTCATTACTTCAAAATGCACGATTATGATGGCAATAATTTGTTAGATGGGCTAGAGCTTGCTACTGCTATATCACATGTCCACAAAGAGGTAGGTGGAATTTTGTGACGGCATGTGTGCTTGGAAACAGTTCTGACTCTCTAAAAGCAGCTTACAGTAGAACAGAACAGTTACAACACATCTTCAGTGCAGTTACAGTTTTGCCTGAAAATAATCTCTATTTTTCCCCCTGGTAGTTTTGGCTTAACTTATAAATGTGCTAGATTTATCACAGCTTTTCATGTCACATTGCAGTTTTCAGGAAGACTCCATTGCAGTTTGAACTTCCGAGTGATGAAGGACTGTAGAGTGAAAATGATTTGACGGAGGGGATACTTTGGTATGCAGGGATAGGGAGAAAGGGAAATTACCCAAGATGGGATAATAATGCTCATGAGGGTTTATAGAAATAGCATGTGATATGTTGCTGTTCGAGGTTCTGAGGCTGCTGTTTTCCACTCCAAACTGTCACCGCTGTGGATACACCACCTGTAAGAGACCTCTTACACAGTATTAGTATTAGAAGAACCAGTCACGGTCTGCTTTTTCTTAAACACAAATTCTCTTTCCAGCTAGGAACATTTAAGGGCACAGTAGGAAGATACAATCATTAGGGAGACAATACTAACACATTATCTCATGCTGACCTTCTGGAAGTTACAATTTAGAATAGCATAACTTTTTGTGTACACCTGTGGCAAAAAATAGCTAGCTGAGGACATAATAATGATTGGCTGTTTCTTGTGCAAAGGCACCTCTTTCTATTCCCTTTTGCTCATAAGGGGTGTTACTAAGAATTCTACTGACTTTAAGCTTCAGTGCTGCATTTTTCACTACTCTGTTACTGTCAAACTCTGCATTTTGCAAGTTCTGACACACAGGAAGATGTTTCTGTACTCTGTAGAAACTGTAGTGGCTATACTACATCAAGATCTAAATTAAGAGTAGATATGTTAGATTATTATCCACCATTGTACACTCTGCTATTCATCTTTTAGAACTTCTGGCTAAGAATATTAACTGCATACAGGGTGCTTGTTCTGAAGTCCAGAGAACTTGGACTTCATAACTTGCACCTGGTAAAAGTTGCTTATATATTGGTGTAAATGACGGCATGAAACTTGGTGCCAAGTTAGGCAGCAAGCACAAATACCTTAACAGAAAATCAGTTGTTAGTAATCTGTCATACATGGCACTAGATGAGAAACACTGCTAAACTGTTCAATGTGGTTTGTTTTTGTAGGAAGGTGGTGAGCATACCCAGGCAATGAAAGAAGAAGAGCTGATTAGTCTAATAGACGATGTATTAAGAGATGATGATAAGAACAATGATGGATACATTGACTATGCAGAATTTGCAAAATCACTGGAATAAGGTTTTGCAGGGGGCTTGTTTCTCCTTCTAACTGCGTGGAAATGTGAACCAGTATAATGTGATTCATTACTGTCTCGTATCAACCTCTGTGCTGTGAGAAGGAGAGGTGTATCAGTTCCAGCTGAAGTTATTTGAAAGTTGTATGTGTTAAGAAACTGGCTAACTCAGAGAGAGCCGTGTTTGACTAAATGTAGCTACACATTTGAATCTTGAAACATGGAAGTGTCAGCAGTACTCATATAGAGTGCAGCTGGCAAACTCTTAAGTAGCTGTGTATGAATACTAAATAGATCATATACAATCTAATTTCCGTTTCTCTGTCATTGGGTTAAATAGTACCTGTTTGCTTACATTTTCTATTTAAACTTTAAAAATACCTAGAAAGCAAGAAAATATTACTGCATGTAGTTGTATTTCAAGGATAAATGTCCTTACCTTCCCACTAATTTCAAAGGAAAATTGCATAAAAGTACAGGTGCTTGAAAGAGCAATTGTAGAGGAGAAGCATTTGAATGTGGTTTCTGTTTGAGGTCCACATGATACCATATGGACTTTAACACAGTCTTTGAAGAAATTGAGTGTTTTTAAATATATGTACTTCCTACCATACCCTTACATTTTACGTATAAATATATATATACACACACATGTTTTTCAATTTCTTCTTGTCCTTCACAGATTTAATTTTTATGTCTTAATTTACTGATTTTTTTTTCTCTACCTTCCATGGTGTTTTCTTAAGAAAATCAAAGTATTTTTATTACATTTATACATTGTATTAATGCTGTATAGCATTTACCAGAGTAGCTTCTGCTATCTCGTTTTGAAGGTCATGTTAACAGTAAACCAGTTAATATTAAAGCTTGTGTTCAATTTGGTTTTTACAGTATTACCCGGCAAGTTATGCTGCCTTGTTAAGGTTTAAGTTAATATTCCTCGACACTTAAATTACGGTGTTACTTTCAGGAGGTATTTCATAGCTAATTTTCAAGATACTTGAGCGTCTGCAAATTAACATGGTTCTAAGAATGTTTTCACTGCCTTGACTTACTTAATACTTGGTAAGTCAAGCAGTTTAAGGATATTAGAGAAGTGATGTATTGCTGTGTTATTGATGTTTGGTGACTCTAAAACATAACTGAAATCTTAAATTGCTTTCAATCGTTACCCATTAATAGAGAATCTAAATGTTAGCATATTTCTGTAAAATGTATAAAGAGCTATTTTCTGTACAAAATTATTCTTATATAAGAGAAACACATTTGTAAAAGAAATTATTTCCTCTGTTTAAATTTTGTGCAGCAAATCCCAAGTGTCAGACATTTTTTTGTACGAAATATTTATTTTGATACCTTTGTGGCCAGGGTTGTACTGATTGTACAAGCGTTAAAAGTAAGTTGGGGTTCGTGTACTCTGGAGCTAGACAGGCAGGGCTGAAGTCCTAGTGAGAAATGTACCTAACTTTCTGATGTATTTTTAGGCCTGTCTCTGTTACTAGCAGTTGTCTTAAAAGAAAGTTCTTTCAGTGAAAGCATTTTTTAAGTATCTTTTTGAGGGTAATTAATCTGGAGTGAATGTTGAATCAGAAGAAAGTATAGAAAAAGCTTGCAGGGAGGAGAGGAGAGGTTAAGCTCCTCAGCTTTGCGCACTTTAAGCAGGTTGCCTGTAGACCTGCCAACTCTTACAGGCTTATTGCATAAGCTGAGTTTTGGATTTATTTGGGATGAAAGAGCAAGACCAAGGGAACTGACTTCTATGTACTTCTCAAGAAGAAATCATGGTTTTCTTATCAAGCATAGTCTGTAAACTTAGTCCAGCAATCACCTGTGAGGCACATTTATATGCGTATGCTGTATTTATATACATGTTTGTTAACTGCACCTTAGAAGCTTTATATCAGAAATAATTATGATAAATGCAGGTACTGTGGACATTGTTTACCGACTATTTTAAACTTGTTTTTAACAGTTCAGAAGTATACATAAACAGAAAATTATTTACCAAAAACTGCAAACAAAATTGGCGCCTTTGATTTCATGATACTTGAAGAATGATCAAAACAAAATTCTGCTTTCCTAGAAAGAACAGTTCAAGAAATGCTACCCAAGCTGAAGCCTGCATCATTACATCTTTACTCAGCCTCCTAAAATGAATACACATACTTAATAAAGTGCTCTTAAAGATAAATGGTTTAACAGCTGTTTACGGACCTTTCTCAGCTATTAAGTAGGAAAGTGCAAAATTGCTGAGGATGAGGGTGAGTCAGACTTTTTTGAATATAACTAAAATTTTTATGCTAGTTGTAGCTCATGTGGTACCCTAAATATGCCGGTACAGATCATACATATATATACACACATATATATATATACACACACATATATATATACACACACACACATACACACAAACACATATATGTATATGGTATTTTCTGGTTCATATGTATAAAATACAGAAAATACAGCCTTTACAATGGAAGTACTCATCAACTATAAAGATGTTCTAGCTTCGGTAGAACAGCACTATTTCATTTTCACAGATGAGTTAAATAACAAAGCAGAAGGGGTGTATGATTTACTGAAGGTAAGTCATCCCTGAGAGAAACAGAAAACGGGAATGCTGTTGTACGTGATCTTCACCTCTTCCTAATCTATGATCTCAAGGGATGGGAATTAGTTTTCCCCACTAGAGGAGAATACATCTGGCCTTGAATTTCTGTATACTAGGTACTCAATTTAAAGTATCTAGATTATCTGCTTTTACCTCTCAAAATATTACATAATCCAGCAGCTAAAGAAAATACTTCAACTTGTTCTTGAAGCACTCCTAAACTGAGCAATGTTTTTTATTAGTCAATCTAGAACATTGTGAAAGAGAAAAATCCTAACTGTTTGTCCAGTGCCAATCAGAATGCTGTTAATGGCAAGCATGACTGCCTAGAACTTCCCAGTATCAGTTTTGTCTGCGTATTCATGCAGACTGTACTGTCTTTTTTATTATTATTATTACTATTAATAATAATAATCACATGTAACCTCAAATTGTCTTAGATTCATTAAGGAATGGTTACTGACTTACAAATCCTGTTTTCATCTAAAGTATTTTTTAATACAGTAATTCACAAGCAGGACAGTAATTCAGGAATAATGTTATAATCAGTACAGCCACTAGATAGCGTATTGACACTGCACAGTGGTTCCCTGTGGTATGTAACTTGGAGTGATTCAACAACCTGGGTTTCTCCAAACCATCACCACTATGAGTATAGGTGAGGCTTGCTCCTCTGTCTTCTAACACCATGTTGCCTGTACGATGCCCACTTTTTTATAAGTTTACACCTGTCATAAAAATTGACCATAGCTGGGACTGGTTCCTGGTATTTAATTTTCATTGTTTAGGGAATCCAAATCAGCTTGATATGATAGTAATGAAACCTGCATTGTAATGTTGTCAGTGAAAATAATTGTGTAACAATAAGACTTTCTAATACAAGCACCAGGTTTGGTCTGACTTCTTGACCATCTTTCGTTGACCTATGAGAGGGTCCATGAGGTACCTACAGTGGTCTCAACCAACATTAAAGAATACTAGAAGGTTTTAGTGGGACCTGAAGTCTTACTGATTTTGCATTAGATGTCAATAAGAGCATCTGTCACTGTTCTTACAAGGCATAGATCCAGTGTGGTCTGCCCAGCCATTTTTGCTTAAGGTGAAACTGGTTGCGTTTTACTTCCTCTTCCCCATTATGGTCTCACTGTCTGCTCACTGCACCATGAAACAGCTGCATAATGTTGTAAAATTTTAGTAAACTAATTAGGGCAAGGATCATTGCATACCTTAGTCGGGATTATTTATTATCACAAGGAAGTTGTGTTTTAAATGCTTCATTAGCACATATCCTCTGTCCATGTTGAATGAGATCCATTATAAGGGCAGGGCAGTTATTAATGCCTTGCAGAAGGTTTCTCTAAAGTTACGTTTTTCTTCCCATCTTCATACTAAATTCTGAACAGCAGCCTAAATCATAAGGGCTAATACATACTGTAATTGTCACTACCTTCCTCAGCTGAGTGGCAGTTTTACACGTAGGTAGAGGGCAGTGTAACACATGACTCAAAGGCTACTGCTAGATATGACATTTTAGAAGAAATCAGTACTGCAGCAAACGTAGTGTCAACTTCTGCCACTTGATCCAGCTGAGTGACTGACAGCACTAGATTTCAAGAAGAAAGATGTCAATAAATTCAGAGAATGGGTGGGGAAGATCTCGTAAGAGGCAAATCTAAGGGAAACAACAATTAGGGAAAGCTGTCAGTTCCTTCAAGAAATGCTAATAAGAAACCAAATGCAACCTTTGCCATTTTAGAGAAAAGTAAGGAAATTCAGCAGAAGTCAACTAATTCACAAGCTTTTAATTGACTGCAAACTTAAGAGAGATACATCTGCAAAGTAGAAACTGGGTCAGCTGATTGAGAACCCAGCACAATACTCCATTCATGGCGGGGTTGGAGGGGTGTATACAGTTAGTAAAGACAAAATGCACAAGCTACAATTAGCAAATCTTACCAAAAGTGAAAGAATTTTTACAGGTAAGGTTGTAAGAGAAAAACAAGGGAAGTTTGGAGCACTACTCAAAGGTGGGGGGGTGCTATCAGCAGAGGACATTAAGGAAGCCGAAGAGTTTAATGTCCTTATTTTTTCCCTTTTTTCACCAATCTTTACTAAAAAGGCCAACAGTAAGCAGACAGTGCAATTATTACCACAAAAAGGGGGTAAAATTTCAGCCTAAAATATGCAAAACCTGCTTAGAGAGTAACCAGCTCAGATGTTTTCCAGTTGCCTGAGCTTCATCAACTTCACTCTAGGACTCTTAAAGGGAGAGTGAAGTAATGGCCACAGATGTCATATAGCTTGAATGTATCTATTTTCTTTATTTTTTTGCAAGACTTTTAACAGTACTTCCTATAGTATCCTCATGAACAGGCTAGTGAACTGTGATGTAAATGAAACTGCTGTGGGAAGAAGTAGGAAGTCAAGTCTAGTTGTATAATTGTATCCATAGGGTAATTCCATCATAATCTATCAAAATACATGTGTTTTGCAAGGAAATTTGCAGGCCTTGGTTCCATATCAAGTTTTATTTGATGTTTTAATTGAAGGCACAGAAGATGGAATATAAAGTATGATTATTAAGCCTGCAGATGGAGCAAGAAAGGACTGCAGATGTCATAGATGCTAAAAGATCAGAATTTAAAATGATCTTGAGATATTTAGAGAAGTCATCTAAAATGGATGGAATGCAATAGTGCAAAATACCATGCTTACACAGAAATACCCATCTGTACTTGCATAACTGTCTAGGTACCAGTTCACAATAGAAAAAATCAGGGACTATGGAGGAACAAGCTGAACATGAATGGCCAAACCCTCACACTGAGATGTCTAAAGGGTCTTAAAGACTACTGAAAGGGTCCATGTGGGCTGATCTTCACTGTTAAAGATTCACCCGGAAGACTCTGTCCTGTTTAGTGCACTGCACTTCAAGAAGGATATGAACTAGTTGGCAAGAGGCCAGTAGACATCAGCAAAAATGGACAGAAGTCCAGAAAAGATGAGGGAAGATTGCAAGAAATGTGTGTGTGGGGAGGTTGGGGTGGGGTGGTGTGCTGAAGAAGTAACAACTGAGAAGAAGGAAGGTTAATAGTCTTCAATTAAAAAGCAGTTGCAAAGAATAAGGAAATATGTTCTTGATGGAAAGATCAGGAAGAATAAAACATAAAGAAGCATAAACCAAACAGCTTGGAAGATTTAGATTAGACATTGGACAAAACTTCAGTATCAACGATAAGATACTATAGCTTGGGGTGATGTGATTAACTTGGTCTTGGGATAGAAAGGTGGAGTTAATGACTTCTCCAGATCCCCTCTGGTGAAAGCCTAGTCTCTCATTGAGTCTATGACTGTCAACATCTGTGTGGACTTATATCAGGAGAAGTCCCTTGTGGGTTCCACAGCTGAGAACTGAACACAGGAATTGAACACAGGAAGCCTGTGCTCAAATCCAGGTCTCAGAGAATTCTTCTCTAGGATCACAGACCATCCTCCTCTCTCCCTGCTGTAAGCCTTTTCTCTTCTCCTTACATCTCTGTAGACTCTTATTCAGCCAGCCATATTTCACTTTTCCCCTAATTCATCTAGATGTCTGTTTTACATCTCATCTTCTTACCATCATAACCCATTTTCCCTCTTGAAAGCCTGTAAAAACTTGTTCGTCACTTCTGCCTTCCAGTCAGGCGGTTCTTCAGTCCCAGAAGACAGTGGCCATTCGGACAGTCCTGCTGTGCTCCATTCCTGTGCTGCCTGGCAGAGCAGGCTGCAACTAGCAGTGTCCTGCTCAGTCCTGTCAGCGTATGCTCGCTGTCAACACCATCTAAGTGCAAAACCCTACCAAGTTTTTACTGAGCATGTTCAAAATGTGATTGTCAAGAGCCAGAAGTGAACACTTTGAACCAGACTGGGGAAAGAAGGCATATGCCTGACTCCAGGATAATGCTTTGCTTAGGATTCAAGTTCTAGCTCTGAAGCACGGAGATACCAAAGCTTCTTCACAAAAAAAAAGAACAGTAAAAAGACTGCTAAGAGTCTTTAAAATGACGAAGTGGGTTCCTAGCTCTGTTTTCAGCAAGTAGTCAACTATTTTTGTTGACACTGAGAATATAGTGTAAGAGCATCTACGCTGTGTCAGAATGAAGGTCCATCTAGCCCAAGAGCTTGCTTCACATAACAGCCAAGAACAGATGCTGATGGAATAACAAACAGAGAAAGCATGGTGTCATACTTCTCCCAAATACACACACAGGCTCCAGCAATTTGTAGGTCAGGGATTTGACTTCAACAACAACAAAACCAACTAAAGTCAGGAGCTCAGAAAGATCAAGGCTTAAATGTTGAAGTCTGGCAATATTATTAACCTGGTCTTATGGGACATGGGCAATGCCACATGCTGGGCAGACTTTACTGTTGACATTGCTACACTATAACCTTCAGTACAAGCTAAGGGGGTGATGCAGTGGGCACAGTGATCCCAGGAGACCACATTAATGCAGTGCTATAGCACAACTATACTGTTTCCATATGTCACATTCTTCTTACTTAAAGCAAGAGACACTGAAAGCTGTCTAATG